TAAGATATGACAAAATAATATTAATTTATAAGTTATCAAGGGTTCACGTGTTATGGGGGGAAGGTGGGGAGGGAGGGGAAAAATGAGCTGATCTAAGGGCTCAAGTAGAAAGTAAAATGTTTTGAGAATGATGATGGCAACAAATGTGCTTGATACAATGGATGTAGTATGGATTGTGATGAGAGTTGTACGAGCCCCCAATAAAATTATTTAAAAAAAAAATTTCAATGGATATTCTCTACATTCCTGAGCTGAAGTGGGCTGATTTTGGCCATTTTGAGTTGGACAATCCTATGGTTTAAAATGCCAGGAACGAAAGATTCCAGAGGAATGATATTTTTATCATTAAAAAGTCCATTTCGAGATTAACCTGGAAATGCAATGTGGTCTGTGATCGGGTATCTGTAACCTGTAAAGAAGTCCAGTTAACAGAATTGCTAATCAAATCGCTCAGCAACCACTAATCCTAAAGCCAGCGGTGAAGCTCAAGAATTAATTGACCAGACTGTATTCTAGTGTGCAGTCTAGCTGCATTGATAATTATTGGTGATGGAAATTCAAAAGTTGGAAACAGAGATATTTGGAAAATACTGCCTGGTGATAGAAATAAAGGTGGAGATTGTCTGATGGAATTTTTCAAGATCAATTCCTTCATTGCAGATACCTTTTCTCAACAACATACATGACATCCAGACACGTTGCTCGCCAGACGGACTGCTCAGGAGTCAAAGTGATGGCATCTGTAGGAAGAGAGGCAAAGACGCTTAAGACCATCAGCCAAAATAAGGCCAGGGCCTCCTCTGGAAAAGACCATTAATTGCTTGCTGGTAATTTCAGATTAAAGCTGGAGAAAACTAAAACAAGGGCACGAGGACCGAAATATGACCTTGCAGAAAACTACCATGGCTTTGAAGAACATTTCAAGGATGGCATTGACACCATTGAACACTAAGGACAGATGCCCTGACGAACAGGGAGTTGATAATCAAGAACATCATACATGAAGAAAGCAAAAAGTCATTAAAGAGACATGAAAGAAAGCCAAGAACCAAGTGGATGCCAGAAGAGACCATGAAACTTGTTCTTGAATGTGGAGTAGCTGAAAAGCAAAAGGAAGAAATGATGAAGTCAAAGAAATGCACAGAGAATTTCAAAGGGCAGATCCCAAAGGCAAAGTGAAGTGTCACGTGAAATGTGCCGAGGCTTGGAGTTAGAAAGCCCAAAGGAAGAGCACGTTCCGCATACCTCAGCGTGAAAGAACTGAAGATGGAAGTAACTGGTCGATGTCCAACCATTTGCAAGAGTTAGCAAATTATTAAGAACCCGTGGCACTGAAGGAAGATTTCCACAGGGCAGTAGTGAAAAACAAAGTTCCTGGAATTAGTGGAATACCAAACGAAATGTTTAAACAGTGGACGAAGCACTAAAAACACACTAGTCTGTATCAAGAAATTCAGAAGACAGCTACCTCCCAAGTTGACGTAACGAAATCCTTATTTGTGATTGTTCCAAAGAAAAATCTGACAAAATGTGAAAATTATTGAACACTACATACAAGTAAAATTGTACTGAAGATAACTTTAAAATGGTTGCAGCAGTACACAGATAGGGAATTGCCCGGAATTCAAGCTGAAGTCAGAAGAGGATATGGAACGAAAGATATCATTGCTGACAGGAGATGGGTCTTGGCCGATTAGAAAATGCCAGAAAGATGCTTACTCGTGTTTGATTGTGCAAAGGCCTTTGACCCTGGATCATAACTAAGTATGGTTAACATCAGCAGACTAGGCATTCTCTAGCCCTTTATTGTACTTTTTCAGAACCTGTGGGGACCAGCAGGCAGTCATTCAGACAGAACAAGGGACGATTCCAAGGTGTGTGTCAGGGTTGTATCCTTTCACCATGCCTGCCCACTCTGTATGCAGAGCAAAGAAACGGCGGGATACCCCTGTAGGAAGGCGAACACGGCATTGGAATTAGAGCCAGGCTTATGAGCAGCGTATGCAGAAGGCACAGCCTTGCTGAAAGTGAGGAGGACTTGCAGCACTTGCTGATGAAAATCAAAGACTTCAGCTTCAGTTATGAATGATAGTTCAATGGATTAGTATGGGTTGCAACTCAGTGTAAAGAAACTCAAAATCCTCACATCTGGACCAGTCAACATCTTAATAAAGGAATAAAAGATGGAAGTTGTTTATCAACACTCATGGAAGCAGCAGTCAAGAATTCAAGTGATGTGTAACATTGGGCCAATCAGCTAGCTCCCCAGCCTTCTTTAAGGTGTTCATCAGCGCAGATACCACTTTGTGCACTAAGGGGAACCTAACCCAAGTCATAGTCTTTTCAGTTGCCGCATATGCATTTGAAAGCTGGACCATGAAGAAGGAAGCCCAGAGAAAAACTGATGCATTTGAGATGGACAACAAACAGATTGGGCTTGGAGGAAGCACAGCCTTAGAATCGAAGATGACAAGTCTCTATCTCACATACTTTGGACACCTTCTCAGGAGAGACCAGTCCCTGGAAAAGGACATCGTGCTTGGTGGAGGGACAATAAAACGAGGAAGGCGCTCCATGAGATGGATTGGCTTAGTGGCTGCAACAGTGGGCGCACGCCGCCTAACCGTTGGCACAGAACTGGGTGGTTTCTGTTCTGTTTGACTTGGGTTCCCTATGAGTCAAAGCCGGCTCAGTGCACAGAACCACCACCACCTCGGAGGCATTGTGTCACGTCGCAGGGGCTGTAGGCAGAGCCTGCTCTTGGTTCCCCTCTCCTGGTCTTCGTGCTGCTTTGGTTCCTGGGTTTACTTATGTAGCTGTCCCCAGGTTACAAAGAAGACCTTTTCCTCTCTGGTTAAGTCCAGATGAGTCAGAACAGGTGCATCGTATCCTTATTTAGCCTTAGTTTAGTGCAAGGAAAAAAAAAAGCGGGGGCTGGAAGCCTCTTCAAGGGCTATAAGCTGTACATGCAGCCAGAGAAGGCGACCGACGAGTTCATGGCTGTGCTGTGGGCTACTCACTGAGGTTTGTGGTTTGACTCCCCCAGCAGCTCTGCAGGGGAAGGCTGGGGTACTCTACTTCCGTAAAGATGCAGGGCTGGGGAACCCACAGGGCAGTTTTTCCTGCCCCACAGGGTCACTGTGTGCAGGAAAGGACTCAGTAGCCGTGGGCTTGATCTGGTTTAGGGATGGGCTGAGTCGTTTCAGAGTGGGGGGGGGTCACATTTACATCCTGTTGCGGGCCAAGTCGGAGTTGTTTGTATGTCAGACATTCATAGCCAGAAGAGCGCCTGAACGCGCATGAAGCCCACCGCACACAGTCAACATTTTTGTTTAAACTCTTTTTGTTCCATTATTTCTCAGGGCGCTTTCGGCGTGCAGATAAAGCCGTGCGTGTTTACCCGGTAGCTGCCTTCGGTGCTCTGCATTCCCTTGTGCCCATGCCGATGTTATCGGCTGCCACTCTCTTTCTGCCTGAAGGACTCTCTTTATCATTGCTTGTAGTGCAGGCCTGTTGGTAATGAATTCTTCTGTGTCTGCATGTCTGAACAGGTCTCTATTTCACCTTTGTTTTCCGTTTCCTGGCTCCCGATTGTCTGCCCGCCGGCCACATGGGCCCCCTCTGCCTGGGGCTCTGCTCAGGCAGAGGCCCCCACACCTTCTGGGTGCTTCCTCCCCCAGTCACTTCCTCTCAGGGGTCAGATCTCTCCTTCGTAGGACGGGTCCCTCTGTCCTGCAAGGACAACCACATTTTCTTCCCTGTTGGGAATGCCCAAAGGGGATTCAAACCTGCTTCTGCTTGTCGTCTGGTGGGGGCTGCCCTGGCATTGACTGTGCTTAGTACAGGCTGGCTCGCTGCTGCACGCCCTGGGGCTGGGGGGCTTCCCTCCCCTCTTGGTGACTACCGCCACACTCTTTCTTGACCAAGCTCGCCTGTGTTGCAGGATGTAGCCTCCCCATTCCTCCTCACCCTTAAATCAAGCCATGTTGTCTTTCATCAGCACGAGAAAATGGGAAACCAGAAATGAGAACTGTGGAGGAGGGCCTGACCTCTCAGACACTGGCTGAGAGCTCTGACAGGGCTGGTTCCTCCTTCAGTGATCGAGAGGGTCACCGACGACCTCAGTGGACCTTCTCCTTCTGGACTCTGTAGTTCCTTATTCCTCCTCTGCCGTGGGGGCGCTCTTCCAGTCCTGGTGGCTCTGAAAAGCTGGCTGGAGAAGGAGAAAAGGTGCTGTAAGTGGTGTGGACGGGTGCAGCAAGGCCCTGGACTGGACTGGACGCCATTAGAATGGCCATGTTTGAACATTTCTTGTTGCCCCGTCCTCCCTCTAGACAGCAGTTGCTGACTCTCTTTGGCACCATGGTCGTAGTATCTGCTCCTGCACGATGGCTTTCAGTCAGTGTGGCCCAATCATGCCGTGGTCCTTTCTTGTTCCCATAGCCAGATCATTGCCAGAGGACTACTCGATGTCTTCCGGGACTTCAGCAGCAACGAAGACGACTTCCTAACGGTAATGGAGATTGTGGTCAGATTATCAGAAGATGCAGGTTTGTATAATGATTGTGTAACTCAATTTTTCACTTGTGCATTTCCAAGAAGTTTTACAGAAGCAACGGTAGCTAACTTTTAAATCTGTTTATTAATCAATATGCTTCAAGCAGCGTCTCACAATGAATGGATGTTGTCATGAAGAATGGGCCTCTTTCTTGACTGTGACTCAAATTACCCATAGTTTTAGAAAATGAGAATGACTAATGGCCGTGAATGCTAGGTGCCCTGGCAGTCAGGCCTTTTGTCTTTCATGAGTTTTGTCAGACTGGATTACAACAATCGTGGCCATAAATTTCCCTCACCTGTCATCTATGCAAAGGTATTCGACTGTGTGGATCATAACAAATTATGGATATCATTATGAAGAATGAGCGTTCTCAAAGACTTAATTGTGCTCATGCAGAACCTGTACATAGACCAAGAGGCAAGCATTCAAGCAGAATAAGAGGATACTGCATGGTCTAGAATCAGGACAGGTGTGTGTCAGGGTTGTATCCTTTCTCCATACAATATGAAGAAAAACGCAGCATCAGGCCTGGAGGAAGATTCATTAGCACACTGCGATACGCAGATGGCACAACCTTGCTTGCTGAAAGCAAGGAATACTTGACGCACTGATGAAGATCAAAGACTCGCCTTCCATGCGAATTACACCTCCACGTAAAGACAGTCTTCACCACGGAACTGAGAATCAGTGTTATGATAGCAAAGCTTGACGTTGTCAAGGATTTCATTTTACTTGGATCCACAATCAACATGGAAACAAACAAACAAAAAATCCAAACGCCTTGCCATCAAATCAATTCTCACTCATATGACCCAGTAGGATAGGGTAGAACTAGCCCTATGGGTTTTCGAGATGGTGACTCCTTCCTGGAGTAGAAAGCCTGGTCTTTCTCCTGAGGAGCTGCCTGGTGGTTTCAAACTGCTGACCTAGCAGTTAGAAGCCCAACACGTAACCCCTTCGCTACTCCAGTCAATAAATCAAACAATATATTTATTGCATTTGACAAGTCTCTTATAAACGATCTTGAGAGTGTTAAGGAGCCCAGGTGTCACTGAGGATTAAGGTGTACCTGACCCAAGATACGGACCTTTTGATTGCCTCCTCTGTATGCAAAAGCTGGCCACTGAATACGGAAGCCTGAAGGATGGATGTCTGTGAATGATGGGCTGGGTGACGCACACAAAATAGACCAGGGACTGCTGTGAGTTTGGTTTTGTTTCTTTCCCGGAAGAAAGAACAAGTCTATTTGGGAGGAAGTACAGCCAGGATGCTCCTCAGAAGCAAGGATGGAAAGATTTCTTTCTCTGTGCTTCCCACTTCTTATCCGAAGGGACCAGTCTCCTCAGAAAGCCGTCATGCTTGGTGAAGTAGAGTGTCAGCAAAATAGAGGAAGACCCTCCGTGAGATGGACTGACACAGGGACCTCAACAGTGGGGCTGCAACGTAGCAATGACGGCCAGGCTGGCGGAGACGCAGCCGTGTTTCCTTGCATTGCACGTGAGCGGGCTGGGAGTGCAGGTGACTTGACCACACCTGACAACAGCCACGTGATCTTGGTCAGTTTCTCTTGAGTGGTCGCTCTTCTCCTGCCCCTCCACGCTGGCCAATCTGGAAGAAAAGCCCGTCGCTGCATAATAGGCTGTGGGGCGATGCCCCTTTCCCAGTACACCTCTAGGAAAGGAGAGTAAGATGGGTGAGTGGTGGAGTCCCCGGGGCCCTGCGTCCATAACCAACGACAAAAAGCCTCGGAAAGTTTCAGAAATCTTCAAGTTGCTTTAGAATTTAATCATTTTAGCTGAAGAAAGAGAGAGAGGGAGAAGAGTCTTTTCTTACGCATATCGCCCATATTAGTTTAAAATATGCATATGAATATGACACAAGGCTTTTAAGAAGGCCCACGTGAATGTTTTGCGTCTTTAAATGGATTCTCTTTGAAAACGAGTCACCATTTTACGGGCCTGCAGCAATTATATATTTGTGTTAAATTTAATGTGGTATATTGGCGCTTGAGCAGCTCTTTTGTTTAATGCTTTGCCTTAGAAATAATTGGGATGCGTGGATGGTGGGGGAGTGCATTTATGAAAGAATTATTTATTATGTATACATTCTGGCTGGAATTTAAATAAGCACAGCCCATAGGTCTGGCTCAAAGGCCATTAGTTGTAATGGCTCTTGGAGGCAGGCCCAGAGTGCAGGATTCTTCTCCCGCCTCGATTTATATATGGCTTGTTATAACAGAGTTGTCATCCTCTCTTTTTGTTATGCTTTTATATTGCAGTGTAGCTTATTAGCTTTTTAAGCCTGTCTGTAACATAAACACTCTGAATGGGAAGTGATTGTTAAACTGCATTTGTCTAATTTCCTTGATGAAGTATTTTAGGAAGAAAAGCTTGACACTTAACAGTATATATATCCTGTAAGGTGCTCAGCTCACTTGGGTCCTTTGTCCTTTTCCCTCCACCCCCTGCTGCCCCAGAGCCCACCGTGCGCACCGAGCTGATGGAGCAGATTGCTCCCATTGCCACGTTCCTGCAGGAGCACAGAGCCGACTTCCTGGCCCTGCTATCCGAATACCTGATCCCTGTCGTCATGCGGTACCTCACAGATGCCAACAACCAGGTGTGGGTCCTCCACGTCTGCTCAGGCCCCTCGTCTTCAAGTGGCCCTGCATGCCCTGCCCTTCGTCGCAGAGTGGGGGGTAATCTGTCTCACGGGCTGCACAGTCCTTGGAGGCGGTGTCACACACGCATCACACACGCATCGGCACAAGTACGATGGGGTTGAGGCCAGCGTGGGAATGCTGGGTGCCCACTGTAGCAGTGTGGGGCCCTGTTGTTACTGAAAACATAGCTGTTTATTTTTTTAAAGTTAAGAATTCCTCATGAGTTGATATTACTATCAGAGTTGGGATTGTAGGAGTTGTAGGAGTTGCTTCTTTCACGTTACAGTTGTTGTGGAGGTGAAAGTGTGCAGAGCACACGGACACATTTTGATTTGTGACATTGGTTGCCAGCCCCACGGTGTAGCAGCATTTGATCCCCTCCCTCCCTGTGTCTACCATTTCCATCCGGCGTCCCTTCCTGTCTCCTGAGCTCTGTCTCCGGGCAAATGCTATCCTTCTGCGCTGGTCTGATTGATCGTTCTAAGGGGCACCACCTCCCTGGTGTGATGATTCCTGTTGTAGGCCTATCTCTCTTTGGCTGGAAGCTGAGCCTTAGGGGTTAAGTTCATTTTCAGGTTTGATGGCTGTCTAAAGGCCAGAGTCTCCCCTGAGCCTCTGTCAGACCCATAAGCCTGGTTTGTTTTACACTTTTCTCCCACTCTGCTGTGCTCCTCTGAGAGCAGTCTCAGCAGTGACAGCCAGGCACCATCTAGTTTTTCCAGGCTCCGGACTGTGGAGGCTGGGGTTCCGAGAGTCCGTTATACCTTCAGGCTTATTATCTCTTTGTGTCTTATTTTCTTTACTCTCCTTTGTTCCAGATAGGGGAGAGACCGGTCTATTTGTATCTTTTTTACTGATACAAATTTTGCTTTTGAATGACATTATTATGTGTGTATGTGCGTATGCTCATCCAACCACGGCCCAGCTACCTCTTCATCCATCCACAGTCCATCCTCACCCTTCCATTCACTCATAAATCCACTCTCCCACCGGTACTTGCATACACACACTTACCACCTCCCCATCCATCCACTTATTCATTTACCCATCCACCCACCCACCCACCCACCCCATCCATCCATCTATCCATCATCCATCAATCCATCCATACATACATAACACCTATCTGCCCATCTAGCTATTCTTCTATCCAAATAAAATACCACTATTATTACATTGTTACCAGCAGTGTGATGGGGTTATTGCATTGTTCCTGCAAGGTGACAAGATTAGCCTTCTAGGGTTTCTCTGTGATTCCTTCTTTTTTTCCCACCTCAAGAAGAGCTGTACCATTACCACAGTCAGTGTGAGGTTCCTTCTGTCCGTAGGCAATGTCCCCACGGAATGGCACCTTCATGTTAACATGAGCCCTTCTCTCTGCGGCTCAGCCACCAACCTGACACGCAGGTTCATTTGTCTCCCTGCCTTCTTTGTTTGGGGCAATTGGTTTGGTTTGTACATTTTTATTTGGAATTATGTAAGGTGTTTACCTGACTTGAAGTCCAACGTAGGAAGGGTACACTCAGGGAAGTCCAAGTCCACCTTCACTCCCTGCCTGGCCGCTGGAACATGCACGAGCCTGTGTGCTTGCTCGCTCCTGTGGCTCTGGGCCTTGCTGGTTATGAGAAAGCACACTGCCCGTGCACACTGCACCTAGCTTTTCTCGCTGCCTGGTGTGCCCAGACGAGTCGTAGCGGTAGGTGGGGCTCGTGTTCATTCTTCTCCACAGCATGGGGCCCCACCAGGGGCACCGAGCAGCTTGCTGATGGCATCAGGCAATTTCTAGTGTCTGCCACCGCAGAATGGCTGTAGTGATTTGTCTGGCAGCTTTTTAACGCCAGGCACGGTCAGCCTGACCCTCTGATGACAAAGCTCACCTCACGTGCTAGGCAGGGTATTGGGGGGATGGATTTCCACAAAGGGTAAATGCGTCTGTGAACTTTATGGTCTGCCGTGCTTTCGTGATCATTACTTTCAAGAAAGCCTAAAGTGTTGGCTCATTCCTGCAATAATGATGATGTGCGAGTGGATGCTTGGATAGACACGCCGGCCTGCAGCGCGGGAGAGGGAGCGGGCTAGACCCACAGCCTAGATCGCTTGACTGGAGATACTTGTACCTGGGTATTTACCTTTGTGCAAATATATCCATTCCCATGGGGGAGCGTATCGGGAATGGAGTTAGGAAAGCTTCTTAGATACAGCCAAACGCTCGAGGGAATGAGTCTCTGGGCTCAGACTCAGGGCCATAGTCTCAGGGGACTGCCAGGTCACTGGGCGTCACACAGTTCACAAAGAGGGTAGTCGACACCCACGCTGGTGAGTACCGACTAGGGTCTCGTGACTGGCCACATAAGGTGCATCGTTGATATCTCCCCGTATGGAGGAAGGGTGTGAAAGAAATCAGAGGCGCCTGGAAACAATTAGTACCAAGGGCTGACGGACCACGCATGCCGACACCAGTCCCCACAACCTCAAGATCAGAACCAGATGGTGCCCAGCTACCACTGCCAACCACTCTGAAAGGGAGGGATCCCCTTAGAAGGCACTGCATAGGGTGGGAGAAAGATGTGGAAGAGAAACCAGAAAATTCTTAAAGGAGACCAGGCTCGCTGGTCGGCTAGAGACAGGTGGAGCCCCGGGGACTGCGGCCCTTAGGCACCCTTCAGAAGAAGAAAGAAAAATAAATTCCAAGGAGGCACTCTCTTTGGACAGTGAAACTTTTCCAATGGGGCAAAGGACTAGCCCTCAGCCCACTCTGAACACCTGCATATCCTTGTGTTCCTCTTTGCCATTGCCTTGCTGCCGCTGGCCTGCCTGTTAGACCCGGTGCCGCCTGCTGCCACTCTTGAAGCTCCCTCTGTCTCCCTGGGATGAATCCCTGAAAGGAAGGTTGCCCTGAGTCTAGGACCTGGCAATTTCCTGGCCTTTGTCACCTGCCATTGCGGTACTTTCTGGTCCTGGAGGGTGGAGGCAGGACCCAAGGACCCTCGAGGTGCACACATCCAGGGAGCGCCTGCTGAAGGCCGGTTCTGGGCTCGAGGGCATAGCCCCCTGCACATCCTGCTGCTTCTGTACCGGGCAGCTTCTCCACGGCTGCTCCCTCCTCCCCTCCCACCTGCCTTCCCTACAATGCAATGGCCCTGCTGGACTCACACCTCAAACCCCCAAGGGAACAACCCTGGCCCCATGGTCCATGTTCCTGAGCTCCCCACGCCCCACCATCCATAGCCATACCCTACCCCTGGGGTGGGTATCTATCTTTCTGCCCTCTGTCTGGGGAGGGCGCAGTGCCTTAGGGGGCAGAGTTGTAGATACCTGCTGCATGTGGCAGCTCTTCTCGTGCCCCTGGGTCTGCAGCGGCCTACCTGTCACTCTGGCAGCCCCCGAGACTGTTGGGCTTGCCTCCAACTCCTCCCTCACCTGCCTCTCTCCCAGCAGGTGGCCTTGCCTTTTGCTTCACAGAGAAAATAGAGACCTTCAATCTTCATCCCCGCCTCAGTGAGTGGAACACTGTCTGCTCCATGCAATTCCACAGAGCTGCAACCCCGGGGCCATTAGAGCCCCCCCCAGCCCCCACTCTCTCCCCTCTGTCCACCGAGACGCCCACGGATCACCCGAGTCTCCTAGTGAATCTTACTCTCCCACTACACAGACCAGGAGTCGCCCCTTTTCACAGTCTGCTGGCCCATCGAGTCCTCGGTCCAGCTCCGTGAGCCTGCTGCCCCTCCCCACCCTGGACTCTGGCCAGCTGCCAGGCTCCCTTTCTTGCAACTTGTCCCAGCCGGCTTGCTTGCCCCAGAGGCCTCTTCTGCCCTCAGTTTCCTGATGACCCATCCAGACACTCCTAGCTTGGCCCTTGGGAATGTCCTATAGGCCCCCGAGGAGTTGGACAAGCAGTCTAGCGTCTCTGGCCACCTCCAGGGACCTCTGGTGGCCCTTGGAAGTATGTCATTCACACATTTGGGAGATGCCACTGTGACCGCTCTGCCTGCACCCCTTCTCATCATGCCCACTCATTGATGGAGGCGGGCTCTGTGCCCCAGGTGGCTGGCTGAGGGTCACTCTCCCCGAGCATGTATTGAATGTGGCAGCCCTGACACCGTACTTGAGTGGGAGCAGGCCAGTGCCCAGTGCTGGGTTGGAGTGGGGCCAGGGGCCTTGCCCCAGGTGGCAAGGCTGTTTCTATCTCTGTGGTCACTGGCAGGTTCTCTCTCTCCATTCTCCACCCCACTCAGTGGCCACTCAGTCTTGATTCTCTCCATGACCAAGCGCAGGGCCTAGCCCCAGTGGGTGTCTGTTCAGAGTCGAGGAACACACGTCCACTGCCACGCCAGTCTCCCATGGTATGCCGACCCCACTTCCTCCACAGCTCTGCCCGTTCCGTCTGTTGCCCTGCTTGCATCAGCCATCTCTCTTACCTGCTGGTTCTTCACCTGCCAGTGGCTTCTCTGCAGCATTGTTGTGTCTGTGGCCCCCCTGAGCCTCCCCTCCCCTGGCCTGGCCACACTGACCTGTGGCAGCTGGGAGGGCCTGCCACGGTCTCAGTCTGCTCCTTAGGAAAGCTCTTTCATCAATAGTCCCAAGTTCCAAATCGTGTGAGACATTTCAATCACACGGGAGGATGGTCTGGTAACCCCCACGTGTTGACTGCTCGGCTTCAGCAGCATTCACGTTTCACAGTCTTGCTTCACAGAGATGGGTGAGGCCGCCTTTGTCCCCTGCTCCCTCACCCCTGTGGCAAACTGTCACCCCGAGCTCCGGGGTCTCCCCTCAGCCAGGTATTTGAGTTTGCATCATGTTGTGAGTGCCACTCGGAGTAGCGTTGCCTCTCCTTTGGGATCCTCACAGCCTTATTGATGTGAGTGGCCTGGTGCTGCCCCTTCCAGCTGCGCCCACCCCCTCCTCCATGTTCTATCCCTCCATCCCCATTGACTGGCTGTTTCAGGGCCTCTATTTCCAACTATCAGTATTCCGTTCCTGCCACCCGTATCCTCTCCCCAGGGCTTGATCTGTTTGCACCATGTGTCCCTGCTCACTGTTTGCAGTTTTTTTGAAGACGCTTTTATTGGGTGCCCACCGGGTTCTTTATTTTGCTCTACCCTGGCTCACGAGGTGGGACCGGACAGGGGCGCTCACTGGTCCTCATGGGTTCATCGCTTGGCAGATCTGGGCTGCGATCCGCTCCAATGTTCTCCCCCCAGCTGCTGAGAGTTATGATTTAATAACAGGGGGTCTCACGGTCTTCCGGGAGCCAGGTCTGTTCTCAGCCCTTTCTGTGTGCTAGCTCATTCTGTCCTCCCGACTCCCCTCTGAGATGGGTGCTGTTATTTCACTGCTGAGGAAAATGACCCTGACCTAAAGGAGAAGAATCCACAGCAGATTGACATTACTCATGGGATCCAGACTTTCTGGGCTGCCGGAACACGGTATTGGCAGAGAAGAAGTCTTTAAGACCAAGCCGTAGTTGAACTGACCTAGTAAAGACTGGGGAGGAACCCGGGTGACAATTGGGACTGCCAGCCTCAAGGTCAGCAGTTTGAAACCATCAGCCACTCCTCACGAGAAAGGTCAGGCTTTTCTGCTCCGGGAAGAGCCACACTCTCGGAAACCTATGGGCAGATCTCTCTCGTCGACATGGCGGCAGTGAGTCTGAGGCGCAGAGTAAAGCAAGTCTGCCCTGAGCAAATGGAGTGTGCTACTGTGCATCGTCCATGACGACAGCAGCCGCGACATGAAAAGAAGAAAAGGAAGAAGGAGGGAACCGAGGCTCCCAGTGGCTGGCTCATTTGCTCCAGGACTCAGCTGGCAGGTGGGAGCTCCCAGAGGGGCTTCCTTGGCCTGAGCTGCAAACCACTGCAGGATGGCCTCTGGGGCAGCCTCTTCCGGATCTTCCCTCACTTCCCGCCTGTGACACCTCAGGTCCCCAAACCCCCCTCCTCCCCCCAACCGGAGCATCCCCCACATTCTAGACCCTGGCTTCCCCTCTGTCTTCTCCGAGTAGAGTCACCGGCATGCAGCCTTCGTTTTCCGCCCAGCATTCCTCACAGTCCCCAGCCGCTCCACACAGGGTCCCTCTCCTGCCCCTGGGAACTTCCCTGACCTGAAGCCAGTCCTGGTCTTGTCACTCCTGTGCTGGATCTCACTGCTGTGCCTTGTTGCCCCTGGACTAGTGACCGACCCAGAAACACTTTACCTCCCGCCATGCCCCAGGCTTCTCCAGGGCATCTGCTCTTTGCCTTTGGACCAGCTGCTCCTAGCCTGGCAGACGCTGATTGGTGTACTCCTGTCCAAGGACCACAGGCATGCACCCTGTTGGGTCTGAATGCTAGGCATTGGGAGTTGAGGCAGGCAGGACAACATGTGCTCCGCAAAGACACTGGCACAACCCCTCCTTTCCCCTTCCAGGCTCCGAAGGTCATGACTTCCTCGGCTTGTGGCCACGTTGGTCCATCTCGGCCTTCTACATCACAAGGCCTCCCTTCTTCCTCTTCCTCTTAAAGGACTCACCCATGACCCAGGATGCCCTCATCTCAAGATCCTAAATTACATTTGGGAAAAAAACCTTAAACCTCTTCCAAGTAAGTTAGCTCTTGCAGGTCCCAGGGATTTGATGAGAACTTATATTTTAGGGGTCATGTGCAGCCTAGCACGCTCCACAAGCTCCTGTCTGGACACCTGGCTCCATGCCCCTGCCCAGAGACCTGGTGCCTCATGCCCATCCTGCTGCCCTCTGCACCCCAGCACCACCCATGACCGTGGCCTGTCTCCTCGGCTCCATCCTCAGCCTGCGCCCGAGCTCCGTGGTCAGTCAGTGCGGGCTTGGTTGCTGTCGGCCATGCTTCCTCCCTCGCTGGCCACCACGCCAGGCCTTGTTTCCTCTCACCTGGACCACTTCAAGGCTGCCTCACTGACCTCTGCGTCGAGGTCTCCGCTGCCGCTGGCTTCCTCTGGGCTGCACTGCCAGGGCGATCTTTCTAAGTGCCTTTTCCGTCTTGTCACCTGGTCGGGAGCTTTAATAAGCTGCCTCCCCGACATCAGTCTCCCTGGCCCGCGAGGTGACCCCTGCTCTCTTTCATAACCACTGTCACCCCATCACCTGGGACTCCCTCCACACACAGCGGGTGGGCGCGTGCACACGGCGCTCTCCCCCTGCCTCTGTGCGGTGCCTGGGTTCTTCAGGACTTGCATCTCTCTGCATCAGCATTTCCAGTGCCTTCACTGCCCCCAAGACGTCACGGCAGCTTCTTAGGACCCCTTCCCATGCCCGGGGTCCTCCGGGCACACCCACCACAGACTCTGCCTTCTCCAGTGGGCATCCTGTCCTTCGGCGGCTCTTCTCTGGAGCTCTGTCCCTGTGACTGTGACTGTGACACACACAGCACACGTTCAGGTGTGGTCCCAGGAATTCCCAGGCAGGGGGGCACTGCCCTGCTTTGCAGGCCCTCTGCTGCAGCGCACCGTGCTGCCAGCCGTTTGTCACCGGGGAAGCACGAGGCCTTCTGCCTCGTCGTCTAGTTGTGGAGAGCCACGGGCAGGGGCCGTGGAGTCACAGTCGACTGGATGGCAGGATCTGGTGCCCGTTGCCATCAGGTCCTGAGGGTGCGTGCAAAAGCAAGTCAGGCCTGGTGTCTCTGGGTATCCTCTGCAGCAGAGGGGCAGTAGTCCCTGAGCGAGCATGCAGAAATAGCACATGTACACCTACATCCATGTGGCAGAAACAACGCATGTGTATATATATGCACATAGGCAGAAATACTGAATACATGTCCATACAGAATCAGCTCACATATACAAATGCACACAGGCAGAAACAGCACACATGTACACCATCTACTTCCATGCCCATGAGAGGCCGTGGAGGGTGTGCAGGGCACTGCTGATGTAGAATGGAGACCTGGCCGGAGGCCGGAGGCTGGGAGGAAGGGCCTTTCACCCAAGGGTGGGGAAGGGTAGGAGCTGAATTAAGCAAAGGGAACGAGGTGCTTCGGTTCAGGCTGAGGAGCAGCCTGGCCCGAGGACTCAGGAAGGAAGTGTGAGAGATGGGCAGCTGGACAAGGGGAGGTCCGTGGTCAGTAGGACTGGCTGGACATTGTTGGCCCAGAGCGGTGGGGAGGATGGGTCTGGGCCTGGTCCTGAGCACTTTTCTGCTTGTTTGCGCTTCAACTTTTGCTTCATTTTCTCTTCCAGGTTAGAAAGTCTAGCCAGGAAGTGCTGCTGCTCCTTCTGGAACAGGATCTAATTTTCCAGCACGACATTGAGAACAAAGTGTGCCCGATCCTGCTGGACCTCACCACGGCCGACAGCGACGATGAGTACAAGGCTGAGGCAGTCAACGTGAGTCTGCCGGGCTGCTCCCACACCTCTGTGGGCTTTCTCTCCGAAGGCCCTGGGGCTCGATGCTCCCCTGGCTGTTTCCCTGAACAAGGGAGCCAGTGATGGGCCTCAGGCAGAGAAAGCTTCCAGCTCGGCTCTGATGACCTCAGATCTGCGATGGTCTCAGAAGGCATTGCTGGAGGAGAAGGCTCCTGGCTCTGCCTGCTCAGGGCAGGGGGCTAGCTGTGAGCTGCCTCTGCTGCCACCAGCCACCCTCCTGACCCCACCACTGCCACCAAGAGCTGGGGGGCCAGGTAGGGGCCTCCTCTCCTGAAGGAAGGGCCCCACAGTCTCTTCTAGATAATGGTTAGAGAATTAAATGTATATATATATACACACACACACACACATCTTCTAGATAATGGTTAGAGAATTAAATGTGTATATGTGTGTATATATATATATATACACACACAGATGTATTTATATTATAGACTTAGCTAAGACTTAAGTACCCAAGCAAACACAGGATCTGGTTTTGGAGAAAGCAGATGTGACAGAAAATGCACGCAGCACTTTGGGAAGGGCGGTGTTCAAGTAGTTGTGCTCCTATCAGTTACAGAGACACAGTTTCTTCTGCTTTGAATCGATGGTACTGTCTTGTCCCTGCCTGGTAAGATGCTGCGTCCAACATGAAATGCAGTGTTCAGTCAAAGACTTTGTGCTTGCTTCTAGAATCTTCCTGGAGACAGTGCTGGCTGTCCGGTCCCAGGATGCTGCTGCTGTGGTGGGAGAACTCTGGGCTCAGGGTTTAAAAACCAAGATTCTTGCGAACACAGTGGGCAAAATGGAAGACTGTTATTTCCTTGGTTGGAAAAAAACAGTGTTAGAGAAAAGTGTGTTTTCAAAGTGCAGAAACATTACTCACTGTGGAGCTAAAAAATTGTATTATAGCATCGGAACATTTGGCAATTACTCTTCATTTATGTAAAAGTTTCCCTCAACTGCGCGTTATAGGTCTGGCTTTTTAAACTAATTTAATTTTTGCATATTCCATATGCTTATAAGATGAATCAGGTTGAAGAATAATTGATTATTAAAATTCAAATTCTCCAGGGTTTGTTCTTTCTTTCCTCTTTTTAAAAAAAATAAATTTCAAGTTTCCCTACCAGAAATTAAATTTATTATGCAAAATGAACCTTCTCGGCGTTATCGTTTCGCTGGGTTTCTGGCATCTGCTCAGCGAACTTTGCCGACTCCATCTTCTCCTTTGTTTGGAAGTTGCTTACAACTGTCAACCGATTATTTAATCTCCAGAGACTGATCAGACCCTGGCAAGGAACGCTCTTGACAGTTTTGCTTGATGAATATATATATTTTCATTTGATTTTATTCCCAAACTCTCCGTTTTTGTCAGCACCATTCTTCTTCCTCCTCCTCCTTTTTTCCTGTGGACGTATTTGGAAACCCTAACAAGCCTTCAAAAAATCATCTCCCCAAATTGCCTGCAAAACAACTTAGTTCACTCAGCTGCAGTTCTCGCTTGAAGCTGGGTTGTTGGCCTCTTTACCTGAATGTTTAAGCATTTGGATGTGACCACAAAGAACGGGAGGGGTCCCGTGACCCTCCCCAAGCTGGCACTCGTCTGTGGGGCTGTGATGAGAGAGGCATTGGGATGGTCAGTCTGGCCCCCTCTTACTCAGATCTGATCTCAGTTGCTCTCCCTGGGGAGTGTGGAAGCCAGGGGGAGACTTTGGGGGCCCTTTCCTGAGGACTTGGGAGCTGGCTAGTTGGAGTTGACTGAGTGATAGGTGCCTTGGGACCGACGATGGAGAGTGGGTTTGCACATTCAAGGGCAGAAAGGCCATGGGTGGGCTGGCTGGGACCCCCACCCCCAGAAAGACAGGGCTCTGTGGAGCTGGTCTGGGAGGTGTGGCGGGCATACACCTGTATGCCAACAGGTGACCAGAGTGCCAGTTGGTGAGAGAAGAAGCCGATTGGGCTGTTCCCTGATGCCCTCTGTGTTGGGCTCTGTGCAGCCAGGGGGTGTGAGCACGCAACGCCCAACCGCCCCGCCTGAGCGGCACTGCTGCTCAGCCTAGAAGGAACCGCATGCCCCATGGACAAACCATGTGCCTGTCCATTGACGGTTCCTCGCAGGAGAAGTTACAGTCATTGGTTCGGACCCCAGCATCTCAAATGGTGAGGCTTGCTATTGGGAGCAACGCCCTGAGCGGGTTGTACTGAGTGGTGCAGCCCGGCCTACCTACTTATCCCTTGGGTCCTGGGGAAGACGTGTCCCCAGGGCCCGCAGCGTGGTGCGGTCTGTCTTCTCTCACCTAGCAGTTGTGTCGTGAAGCTCTATTGGTGTGTCTGCCTCGCCTTCAAGATGGTGACCTGCTTGCTCCCGGGGCCCCTTCATGTCCCTAGCCCCAGACCCCGGCCCAGTGCCAGGCCCCGAGCCAGTGGATGGAGAGACAGCCGGCGCAGCCTGGGAGAGCTGGGTCTGTAATTAGACCCAGACAGGGTAAACAAGCCACTGGAGACGCATTGGGGCTCGGCGCGCTCGCAAGAAGGCCATTACCATTCGGAGGCTGTACCTCGTTGTCAGAGGCCTGTTTCTCTCTCCCAACACGTCTCCACACGAAGGGCTCCTCGTTTTCCTCGCCGACCCTGTTTTTCAGCTCATTTGTAGTTGTGCATTCATTTAAGAAGCCCGCTGGGGTTGCGTACTGTAAGGAATGGTTGGGTCCCAGGGACTCCCTCAAGGCCCCTCCCTCCGCATAAGTGGCCCCCACGGCTCTGGCCAGGCCATTTCCGGTCACTCGTGTAGACTTTGCGTGCTTCTGGGCTTGGTGGTCAACAACCAGGCCCAGTGGCAGGTGGAGAGGGCAGGAACTGAATTGCCCATCACCGTGGCTACAACACCTCCCCACCGTCGCCACTAGTGCGGTGGGCCTTTGTACCCTTCTGCCAAGCCCCAGGCCAGAAGTAGGGGTTCCCAGCAGTCCTGAAGACACAGCCTTCCCAATGCCAGTGTCCCAGGGCGCCTCCCCCCTGCTGTGAGCAACTTCCCTCCCCTGCTTGTGAGCAACTCTAGGTAGAGTGGCCACCGGCTGGCACTCAGGAACACAGACCACCTGGGCCTCCACCCTTTACCTCCCTTCCTTCTCATTTTGGGGGGTTGGAGGTTGGGGGAGGATAGTGTGGGTCAGAAGAAAAGGATTCTTCATGAGATTTTGTTGGGTTGGTTTTTTTTCTCATACTTTTGTGTTTTGTTTTCATTTTAGACTCAGGTAAGTGTTAAGTTTATGCATGAACTCTTGTAAATCCTCTGCCTCATTTCTCCTGTTTCTTCTTTCCTCCTTTTTTTAATCTACACACACATGTCCACACACGTTTCCTCAACAGCTGGGTCTGTTGTGACCTGTGATCCCTGAATGCCCACTGGGTGTACAGTACCTCACACACACAGGAAACACTCACTCCGTCCTAACACGGGGGTTGAAATCAGGAACTGTGTTCCTGGTACACCTGTGTCGTGGCCACAGCTTCTGCTAGAATGTGCTCAGTTGTCCCAGTCTCCTTCTTCATAATTATTTCCTCACTCTGTCCAGGGTTCAGCTCGGGGTCCACCGGTGCCTGTCCAGTGGCCCATGTCTCCTGTCTTCTCCTTCCACCCAGGAGTCTCCCCAAGTCCTGCACTAACTCCTCACATGAGCATTTGGCTGCGTGCCGCATGGCTCCCGGGCATGTGGTGGGCCCTCTTGATGGTACTCAGACCCCGGGGTTTCTGACAGGAAGCACCCAGAAGTGAGCTGGTGTGCGCAGAACATCTTGTTCAGGAACTACGGGACTGGAGGGTGCCCCAGTCCTGGGGCCATTCCTCTGGTGGCGTAGCCCTCGGGAATCATCGGGGAGCCACTCTGAGGCACCCAAGGGTGCTCCTCTTCATCAGGCCGTCTCCATCTCCTGATGCCTCTGGCTGGCCTGCTAATGCGGACAAGGGTCTTGCTGCCTCTGTTATTTGCTCTCACCCTCTCTTTCGATTTTTACATCTATATTCCAGAGCACGACGGGAGGCAATTTTCTTCTCTGTCTTTGTCGGGCTGAGGAATCAGAGTTGTACTGGCCTCAAGAAATGAGCTAGGAAATATTCCCTCCTGTTCTATTTTCTGAAAGATTTTAAGATTGCGGTTATTTTCCCTCAAATATTTGTTAGGATTTATCAGCAAACCTTTGGCCCTGGAGTTTTATTTTCCTCCGTGAGATGGTTTTTGATAGCAGATTTAATTCAGATATAGGGCACTTTGCCGCTGCTGGTTTGTCTGTGTCATTTTGGTCATTATTTTTTAGGTTAATTTATTAAATTTCATCCAAGGTATCAAATTTGTTCAGATGAAATTGTTTGTCGTTAGGTGCCCTCGAGTCAATTCTTGGCCCCGGGCCTGCGCCAGCCTCGCTCTCTTTGCAGCTGGGAGCCCATTATGATGGCCTCTGCCCGTCTCGCGGAGGTGCTTCAGCTTAATCACCGACGCTGCCTCTCTCTCTCCCTGCAAGGGATCGGTCCATCCTGGTAACATGACCGTCCTTGCTGCTAAGGCGTTTTCTGACTCTGCTTCTTCCAACGTAGATCTGTTCAGTCTTCTGGAAGCCCGTGGTATATCCCACATTCTTCTTCGCCACCGTGGTTCAAATGCACTCCTCTTCTCTGGTCCTCCTCACGCGTTGCTCAGCTGTCGCGGGCATAGGAGGCAGTTGTAATACCATGGCTTGGGGTCAGGAGCACCTTAGCGCGACATCTTTGCTTTTTGATACCTTGGGAAGAGGTCTTCTGCAGGACATTTGTCCGATGCACGGTGCCATTTGATTTCTCCCTGCTGCTTCCACAGGCATTGATTGTGGGTTCAAGCAAAATTAAATTCATAACAACTTCAACCTTTTCTCCACTTAAGATATTGCTTATTAGGTAAGTTGTGAGGATTTTTAGTTTTCTTCTTGTTGAGGTATAATTCACATTG